ATTACCCGGACTTTGGAATTTGAAATAATATATTATATGAGTGTGCAGACTTAAAGTTAATGCATATTACGTAGTCAAGTCTATACTGTAAATTCAATACGGCTCTCTCACACTTGATTATACGGGTGACAAAAGTTGACATAAGAAAAAACATTTACTTTGCAATAAGGATTACACTTACATGTTTTGTTTTGGTTTTTTAAGCAATTTAATTATTATAATAAATTAATTCCTATTTTTCAACTTTCCAATAAATTAATTCTTACTTTTCAATCTTTATTCTTGAAAATATTGAAATAATAATTACTTCTCTCTCATCATTTCATAATGTTAATGATGCAAATTGTTTTCTTCCAAAAAGTAAGGTTTAGGGGCCAAAAATATTTTATTTTACTAAAGAGTAAATTTATAAATATACTTTCCTAAAATTTTTTTTGATCCGAATCAATTGATCCAAATAGCACCACACTTATCCGGATCAATTGATCCAAATAGCACTACTCTTACATTAATTATAAAGTTATAAAGGAGACGTTTCAACAAGAATAATAATGTTTCTAGTAAGAGGGTCCCTACAAATTGCAGAAAATTTAGAAAGCATATTCATCCTTTGGAACTAGTGTTGCAGAAAAGTTGAGGAGGTGCATGAATTACGTTTTAGTGAATTTGGGTGATAGAATAATTGTAATGGGAAAGAAGGGAAGATGAAAAGAAAATAAATGAGCCAAGAACTAATGAGAGAGAAGAGAGGCTACGACAGCTCTTGGCGCCAGAACATAAATATTCAATCCAACAAATGCTGATTACATTAATTACAAAGATAGATATTCAATCCAACAACTATTAATTGCATTAATTGTACAGTCAGATATTCAATCCAACACCTATTAATTACATTAATTATAAATTGCAGAAAGTTTAGAAAGGCATTTAATTTAGAAAATTTAGACAGATCCATATACAAATTATTAGTGAATTTGGGCGACAGAAAATAAATGAGCCTAGAACCAATGAGAGAGAAGACAGGAGAGCTGGGCTAGACCATAAATATTCAATCCAAAAACTATTAGTTACATTAATTATAAAGTTAGATATAGTATAAATAATTAAATATATTAATTTATAGTATTAATGACTTAATATTTTAGAAATTTTTCGAGAAGATTTGTAGGTGAAGATCGAGAAGAAAGACAGAGAGAGAGAGAGAGAGAGAGAGAGGGAGAGAGAGAATGCCAAATCTCGAGATATTCAGGTTTGAGGACAAAAAATGATTTTGGGCTTTTGGAAAGATGGGTCACTTCATCTCATAGTTCGAATTTTGGGTTGGATTTTGAATAGGGAAGAAAGAAGAAACAAAGTAAAAGGTTCAAATGGTTAAAACAGTCATCAAAATTACAAGATTTATCAAAGTCATAAAGGGGATATTTTATGTTTCAAGTATTTTGATCGTACTTCAGATCCATATATAAATGTTTGAGCGAGCCTAACCAGATGGATGTCTAAAGTAGAGTTTGTTTAGATGCAACAAGTGACTTATCAGTCACCAAGTCAAGCCATCTTCATAGGCTACCAAACATTAAATATTCAAACAAAGTAAAGCCCATTAACTTAACCCATTATTCCAAAAAATGCCCATTTACTTGACCAGCCAATTGGCAAAAATGGGAAAAGCCATATTTTGATTAAATTTTTCTTTTTATGTATTTTTTATTAATCCAATATGCCAGTTTGATTAAATTTCCATATATTTTTAATCCAAAAAATGGCAAAAAATGGGTTGGACTCTTTCCTCTCATGAGCGAGCTTTTAAAAGTAAGTTCTAGGCAAGTATCATGGTATCAGACCCGGAGGCAAGGGAGGCTCTAAATCCTATTTGTCCCACATTGCCAGAGGGAGCCTCTAAGCCCCTGCACGCAAGGGAGACTTCAAATCCTATCTGTCCCATATCTCCAAGTGGCTCCAAATCCTATTTGTCCCACATTGCCAACCTAGAGCAAGCTTTTAAGGGTGAGTTGTTACTTATTATGGTATATAATATATGTAGTTAGGTTCTCTCCTCTCTTGAACTAGTTTTTTAATCATTTTCTAAACATGGAGTTCCGTTTAACCCACCTTACCATTTTGTTATTAGTCTTTCTAAACATAGAGAGTTAGATTTAATTTCAGAAGTCTCAATCATAACACCAGTACACCACGAGTAAAGCATAAAACCCCTAAAGTTAAACAGAAAATGCCACAGCAATTTCATTAATTTCTAATAACTTAGGCCTTATGGCCTAGAGACATGTAATTCTTAATTTTTCATTTACTCTCATTTTACAAATAAACCAAAGGGAAAAGAACGTGTAATTTAAAGGTAGTACCGTTAAAGTAATATACTGTTTTGTAGCTCTTCTTGGGAATTACTTGGTTGGTTGTAGAATGCTTGGTCCGTAAGTTGAAGAGATCATCTCAACCAACAGAGGACTGCAAAAGAGCAAATAAAGATACAGGGAGACAACCAAGAAGGGAAATTGGAATGATGGTCCATTTTCATGGATGGGAAAGAAATATGTAAATGGTTGCACCAAATGCTACCATCATGCTTGCAATAGAAAAGAACAAGGTGACTAGCCCAATGATTAACTTCTTTGGCAAGGACTCCAAAAAATCTTCTTCTGCATAATGCGAAGTGAGGATTGCCAAGAACATCAGTAGTGAAGCAGTGGAAGTAAAGAATGCAAATGCATCTGATATGACAAACACTATGAAAGATGGTTTGTGCAAGAAAATGGGCATCCCTCTTGTTGGAGTTGGGCCTAACTCCTCACCCAAAAGGCCTTATTGAGTAGGAGGATTGCCCACTCTTATAAACCTATTGGCTTAAGTGTGCCTAGTCGATATGGGATCTTCAACACTCCCCCTCACGGTCAAGCCCATATGGTCTACTTGCCTATGAATGGAGGTAGTTTGGCAGCCCACCGCTGGTCAATCACTCAGCTCAAATGGGACTGGCTTTGATACCACTTGTTGGAGTTGGGTCTCACTCCTCACCCAAAAGGCCTTATTGAATGAGAGGATTTTCAACTCTTATAAACCCATTGGCTTGAGTGTGCCTAGTCGATATGAGATTTCCAACAATCTCTTTAGCAGAGTCATTGCCACCCGATATTGTGAAAGCTGCAGCAAAGACTACTGTGATTATGAGTGCAGCGACAACTGTGCAGGACGAAGCAGTCTCCTTCATCCATTTTTCACCTTCTCTGATTAAATTGTTGTGTGATTCGGTAAACACTTGTCTAGGAGTTTTATTGGACTTGTTTCGCTGTTCTTGACGAGATGGATGAACAAAACTTTCCACAGCCTGAACATATATACATAAAACCTTAGCTTAATAGGTAAGAAAATGATGGACAATATTAAGGACTACATGTTATATATATTTTTTTTCTCATTTTTTTCATGAGTTTCGAGCCTTAGATTGAAGAGTTTCATTGCTTGGTTGGATGGTCACCTTAAACCATTGTAGCTCTCTCTGCATCTGCAATGCGGGACCCGGAATTTGATTTGAAGGAACAAACCTCCCGGCGGAATGCAAAATGTTGTCTTTTTTATCTCTCATGTCGGCCACTTTCTTCAGGTTGTCGTCCCATGTAAGTAAAATATTTTTTCGATTTACAAACCAAATACTTTTTCGTGGCGATTTAGAATTGCAGGTCGAAATATGTCATCATCATCATTTTTAGCGAAAACAAACGAGAAGAAATAGGCCTTCATAATTTCATTGACAAGCTCGTAAATCCCTAATGTTACGGCTGTTAAAACTGGTGTACGTAATGGCTTTGCTTCAGCACGGCTCCAAATAACTCTGTTATGACACATGGTTCTGACTATTTCATGTGCTTGCATATTCGTTAACTTTTTATCTTGTATGCTCTTGGTGATTGAAACTGCATTTAATTAAACTCTACTCATTTAACAAGCTAGAGACTTTCTTTCGAACTGCTCCTTTAATTAAGAGTATATAATTGAATGCTTAATTACCTAAGTGCATGAGGGCATTCCAGAGCATAATATATATTTCTTGGCGCAAAGCACCTGCTATAATTATAAAAACAAATGGTAGCATTCAATATCATAATTATAGGAATGAAGAGATATTTAGATGGGAGTTTGTTAGTGTATGTGCCTTAAAACCAGTAATAGATGTAAGGTTTGGGGAAACATTTATATATAAATTTTGTAATGTTTTATCATTAATAAAATGACGATTATTCTATGATACTTTATGTCATCAATATTTAATTAAGTTGCGTGTGTCTCTGAGCTTGTTCTGAAAAGAATCCTATTTTCAAAGAGTTTGAGAATATAAGTATCAGGATTCTTTCATGTGACTTGCTCTTAAGTATGTTCTTGATCAGATGTGATAATAACTGAGGGCAATATTATCGTAAGATCAGCTTTACTATGTGCTGCCATTGATTAGTATGAAATGTTGATGGTTGGATGATGAGACTCATATCATAAGGGTACGAGTAATGAGGTGATTTATTAGAGAATGAAGCATTGAACGTGCCTGTTGGACGATTGATCACATGGGCCTTCGACCGCCTTGGGCCAACAAAACAATTCAGTGTAGCGATATCTGCCTTGCTCAGGCCTTCGACCCACTTTGACCGGCAAATAACCAACCATACACATGCATAAGATCAAATCAATATCACGAGGAGGATGGGTACTATATATGGTGGTTTGAAACAACTATTATCAATATACATGCTTTCAACTCACAACTTTTCATAAATTTCATGCCTTCATTCATAAAGAAACATATAACATAAAATTCACAATATACAATATGAGGCTAAAAATACAAGTTTCAATAACAATTTAGCCAAATTTTTGTATTATCAACAATTCTTGCCCAAGACATATGAAATCCAATCATTCTCATATCAATTCTCAAATCTAAATAATAATTTTGTATTAAACACATTTCCATAACAAAAATCAAAGGAGTTAAGCAAATTAAAACATTAATAATACTAGAGTAAATCATTTATATAATTTTTTACTAAAAATAAAAGTTAGGGTTTTGGATTTTCCACTCACTCTCGTGAAGCTTGTCCCAAATAACGAAAGCCCTCAAAAAGCTTGGTTCTCCTCCTCCTATTTGAACCAATTCTTTGAAGAAATTAGCTTAAACCCTAAACTTACGAAAATGAGAGAAAAAGGATAAAAATTTACTCAAATAAAAGCTTACCCACGGATAATGTACGCCCAAAAATCGATTCTCTAACGAAAATGGGGTCAAAACTGCCCTTCTTTCCCTTTTCTTCCTTTTCCATTCTCCTTTCCCTTTTTCTTCTCTCCTTCCTCCTTCCAGTCGACCGAAACTGGATTTAAATTGGGTGAGTAAAAACTATCAATTTGCCCCCTGAATTTTTGCGCTACTTCTAGCATATCAGTATTTTATCACAAAAGACCCCTAAATTATTGCTATATTATAAGATCCCAAGAGAATTAATATTTTTACTTACACCCCAAAATAACAAAGAAACTTTCAAAACTTACAATTTAGCCCAAATTCCAGAATGTTCACTGCCCCGGCGAAAAATTGTTCTGCTGTAGCTCCAAAATCTGTAAAATTCTGTATAGTCCCAATGTATTAAATATTTTCACTTGGACCCCAAAAAAATTTCTAAGAACTTGCAGTTCACCCCCTTTTTCACCCATTCCCAGCAACATTTCAACTCAACCAAAATTACCAACATGGAAAAGTCATCCCTTTCCAAACCAACCACTAAATATCACACAATACACCAAACATTAAAACTTAAGTGATTGAATTTTTTCTACCCTTTCACAATTGCAAAATAAGTTAAGAGTGAACATTCTACACAAACCATTTCACACTTCAAGTTAACCAAAACACTTCCATTTATCAATCAGACAAACCAATCCCACCAAATTGACTAGATTTCTCTTTATCAACTCAAATCAGGAAATCACAACCAACCAACAAAATCTTTTAATTTATCCAACATAAAAAAAAAAAAAAAAAAAATGAGAAAACATGCAAAAGTCATACCAATGCATAAATATATACAACATACATGAACACAAAGTGGTACGGGGGTTACATGTACTGTCAATGTTCACCACCACACCAGGCATGGTGAAAGCTAAGGCAAACGCTACTGTAGTTATGAGTGCAACTACAAGCGAGCATCATTGAGTATTAACACTCCCTAATGCATGTTTGATGTGAGATATGTGGCGTTCTCCCCCATCCAATCGTGTGACCCGTCCATCTCCTTTCGAATGGACCCACTATCACATGTGGACACCCCTCTAAGTGGGCGCTTGGTAGGACATCGAAAGGTGGACTGAGTTTGCTTTGATACCATTTATCACAGGTTGAGAGTTTCACACCTAAAATGCTACAACATTAGATAGAGAGACTCACCCCATATAAGCCCAAGACCTCCCACATGTGCTTCTAATGTGGGATTCATGACAATAAGCCAACCTAATTCTTATTCTATAAATACAAGAAGAAATTACAAAAGAGAGATTTCGTGTAGCTCCTTTGGATAAAATTACGTCCTAAATTACATATTAGTGGTTTAGGAAATGGTTGGCCAATAATTGGATGAAAAAATTTCAACCAAGAGAGGAAACTGCAATCATGCAAATAAGATCACTGGGAGACAACTAACTGAGGCAATTGGAATGATAACCCCTTTCCATGAGTTAGAAAAAACAATGTAAAAGGTTGCACCAAAGGCTACCATCATGCTTGCAATAGAAAAGAACAAGGTGATAAGGCCAACCATTAACTTCTTTGGCAGTGACTCTAAAAAATCATCTTCGGAGTAACGTGAAGTGAGGATTGCCAAGAACATCAGCACTGAAGAAATGGAAGAAAAGAGTGCCAGTGCATCCGATACAGCGAAGACTATGAAAGCTATGCTCTGCAAGAAAATGGGTGTCCCATTCTCTTTATTGCCACCTGGTACAGTGAAAGCTGCTGCAAAGACTACTGTGATTATGAGTGCAGCTACAAATGAGCATGATGAAGCAGTGTCTTTCATCCATTTTTCACCTTTTTCCACTAATTTCTCGTGTTCTTTGGTAAACACCTCTCTAGGAGTTTTACCGTACCCATTTCGTTGTTCTTGAAGTGATGGATGGACATAATTTTCCACCGACTAAGCATAAAAAGAACAGCATATAAATAGCAGTAAAATCTGATTATGAGAAAAAAAATCTTGGACATTATTGGTTATATTGGAAGCACTACAAGAATATACCTAATAAACCCAATCAAGGCGGGTTATAAATGATAAAGAAAAGAAATTAGTCATTTTTGTAGTTCTATTTAGGGTGAAACAATGAGTAATATCAGACTTTTATTGCATGATTAGATGATAGCTATATGCAGAAGATAGATATATCACCTTGAACCATTGTAACTCTCTTTGCATTTGCAATGCTGCGCCAGAGACTTGACTTGAAATTACCAACCGTGCAGTTAAATGCAAAATGTTGTTGGTTCTTTCATACTTGTTGGCCGCTTTCCACTCCCATAAAAACGAGTCCATTTTATTTACTAGATTAAAAACTTTTTCCTGGCGATGTAAAATTGCAAGATGAAATATAGCATGTCGGTTTTCATTCCCAAAAGTGTAAGAATAGAAATAGGCCTTCAGAATTTCACGGACAATCTCGCAAATCCCCAATCTTGCGGCTGTGAGAATTGGGTTGCACAATGACTGGGAGGCTTCTTCACTACTCCAAATAACTCCCTCATGACACATAATTCGAACTATTTCAAGGGTTTGCATGTGCATTAACTTCGTATCACGAATGTATTTGATGCCTGGAACTGCAGTTCAACACAAATCAACAAAAGATGGCTCTTGGAGTACCCATTTTAAATAGAAATGATTCTTTAAATGTTTAATATTTACCTAAATGTGTGAGGGCATTCCAGAGCATAATGTGTAATCTTTGGCCCAAAGCACCTGTGACATACACAATAGTAGCTTTTGATTAGATCATAAGTTAATATAATTACTAACTTAGTATATGTATGAACTCAGATAGAAGGTGATCAACAAACCAAATCTAGTGAGGATTTGTCGAACGATAGATCCAAAAAAAGTGAATTGTTTTACTTCTTTGAACTCTCAATTTGATTCTCTTCATCTCCATGCACATTTTCAGGGTAATGAATATGTTCTTCCTGTAAAGGAATCCCTGTAAAAATACACATGCAATGGATTTTTAATTTGATGTACTTGGTTATCATGAATGCTAGATTACACACCATACGGTGTGAGGCTGCAGCTGAACATATTTTATGAATTCCTCAATTAAAAGACTATTCGTGTTCATATTTTATGAATCTGAGAAGATGGTGAGTAACGTACAATGATAGATTAAGCGTCGCCAAAAGCCAAACCCACTCCCACTTTCAAATGCAAGAGGCTTATTAGCCAGCGCTTCTAATATACTTCCTCTGTCCTCAGTCTTAGATATTAAGTCCGGATATTTCTTCAATAAATCAAAAGCTGAACCTGTAGATGGAGTTGAAAGAAAAATTAAGATCATCTCTTCATCTTAGTTCTGAGTTTTTAAAGATCTCATGAAGGCTGTACATTAAAAACAATTAAATATAATCTAAACATATTTATTGACAACTTATTTAAGATATTTATGTTGATAATTGCATGTCGTCTAATTATTTAATCAGAAAAAGTAAATTCCTATTATATAATCGAAGAGTAAATGACTTTTTCCCACCCAAGGTTTGCCTTAATTACCTTTGCTGCCCAAAAAGTTTCAAAATACCACTTTCCAACCTAAAATTTATAATCTGTTATTACCAAAAATACACTTCACTTTCTCAGGTGACGTTTGACGAGCTACCAGTAGCTAGGATAAAAGGGGTTTTGTAGAGTAACTAGGGTTAAAGGGGTTTTGTAGAATGGAGACCGATGGATCTAATGGTGGTGTCCGATTGAATCTTCGTTGCCGAAAATCAGCTAAGAAGAGGAAACCCTATTTTTACGGTGACAGACAATCGACGAGAAATCAAGTACTGAAGTGAGAGAGATTTTGTAGAGAAGAGACCGGAAGTTCCGTAATGGTGACAGAGATCATTTTTACTGTTAGAATAGACCAAAATCGGCTTTGGGTATTAATCGAATATAAACTTTGGGTGGGAAAGTAGTATTTCGAAACTTTTTGGGTTGAAAGTTGTTGAGGCAAACCTTGGGTGGGGTGGGGATACTCTATAATGATAATCTAACAGGGATAGCACTTACCATAGAGTCCAGAACTAATCAAACTTTTTAGCAGTGTAACGCCTTTGTCATCATTCAAAGGAGCAGTTGTCACTTTCAGTAGATATTGAATCATCTCCTTGTGGCCACATGCCGCAGCTCGGTGAATCGGAAGTAAACCATAGATGTTCGGAAAGTTGGGCAAATCCTTGTTCCTATCCACAAAAGCTTCTGCAGCCTTTTTATTTCCGAACGAAGCAGCGCAGAACAAAGCCGTTCCGCCATACCGATCTGTCAACTGTTCTAGTTGCTTTGGAGGGACCTTTGAAACAAGCTTCTTGATAAGCCAAAAGGGTGTGCCTAACTTCCGAGTAATTATGTGAAAAATGGTCTCCTGCCAATGTACTCTAATATTGGCTGTCAAGGCATCAGAATTTAGCCTTATGAAATCATCTACACTTTTCCAGTCATTTTCTTGTAAAGCCTTGTATAATTTCCTGTACCGAACATGATCCTTAATCTCCTCATTAATTGGATTCACTATAAATTTCAAATTTCCAACACAAATACTCAGTATAAGAATTTAAAAGTAATACTGAAATACTATCAGTGCATGTATTCAACTTACTTTCTCTCTCCGGAGGGTCATGACTCCAACTACTGGATTCATCTTTACCGCTGAACTTCATCTCTTTGTGAGGTTGAACATGCTCCAGTAGTTCACTGCTCTGATTGAAACCGTTATTGGTGACTCTTTGCTCCATGTAAGGGATTTCCTCCCTTTGCATCTTTCTCAAAAACCAATGTGAAGGTGCCTGTAGTTAGTCAATAATCATCCTCTTTACTTATATAATTTATTTATATTAATATATTATTATTTTCGGTGAGTGGATGTGGTGACATTATCTTTTATTTTGCTGGACACGTTAGACCTTTGCTATAATTGAATCGGACCCGCTCTATCTAATTTTCCAAAGGAGTGGATCCTCCTGTATTAATGACTTGACACATGCTCTTCCAGGAGGCTCGATCAGAGGTGGGTATTTGAGACTGGGTTCAAAAACTTAGTCTAAAAACCTGGTCTTAGGATCGATTCTTGAGAGGATCAAGCCTAAAGAGGAAGGCCCGATCCCTCTACTGGTCCTCCTCCAAGGTTCAGGCCTCGGCTTAAATTTTTTTACAGATTTTTGTTTTAGTCTTTTGTATAATTATTATAACCCCTTATAAATTTTGAAATAAACATAAATTATAAAGGTTAAAAGATAATTTTATAAAATTTATTAAAAAAAAATTCAAGCCCTAAAAATTTATAAATTTTACCCTGAAAAATATTAAAAACTCCTAATAAAATTTCGTTTTGCTCGTAAAATATAAAAAATTATGGGAAAAAAAGAAAATTTTCAAACCCATAGGATCGGTTCTAGGCTGATAGGACCAACTCTAGAGACCAATCCGAGTCTTACAATTACTTATAAGCCTGAGATCGGTTTTAGACCCATAATGGGACCAGTCTCAAACGGACCCAGGCCTGAGCCTGCTTGGGACTGATCCTTGACCAGCTCTAGGCCCGATGCTTTGAATTGAAAGGTCTTTGAGTCAAAAAGTTTGATGATGAGCAGGTCTTGACTCTTGCCCCGGAGTGAACCTTGCTGTCACTACCACAAAAATGCTTACTGGGGATGGTTTTAAACTATCCTTAATAAATAAAAAACGTCGTTAATAAAGTAAAAACATTTTTTATCAATTACTTATCTACTGATTTGATTGGAGATTTTTATATGTGTTAATTAAATGATTTTAAATTTGAGTCCCTTTTTTATTGCTAGTGGGAGTAAGTGTTAAATTTTTTATCTAATTGATAGTTTTAGGATCTTAAAAAATTAATTAAGATACGTATAAACTAACAAAACGTCCCAATCATTTAAAAAGAAAAAAATTGTTTTGTTAAAACATCTTTTATCATAAGTTAAAGTTTGAAAAAAAAAATTATTTGACGTTATTTACTATAAGTTTTGAAAGACTTTTTTTCTCATTTCTCCCCCCTCTTGTTTTTTATTTTCCTTTTTACCTCCTTTCTTTTCCCCTCTTTCTCTACCACCACAAAACCTCTATAAACCACCACAAAATCCATCATCAACCACCCAAAGATCCACCACAAAACACAGTTTAAGATGGGTCCATCTTAAATGACTCACCACCACAAGAGTAGATTGGTGGCCAAGGGAAGAGCTCGTGGTAGGCCAAAGGAGGAACTCACGGCAGCCACACAAGCTCCTCTGACGGCGCCCAAGAAAGGAAGGAGAAAGAGAAGGAGAAGAGAGAGAGAAAAAAGAAAGATAGGGGGAAAGGGCCAAAAAAAAGATGTTAGGGTTAGAGAATATAAATAATGCAAATAGAATTAATTATGAATAAAACTATATGCACTGACCAACAGTATTTTCCAATATTAATACTTGGATTAATTTAATTATACATCACTAATAAAACTTTTTTATATAAATTATTAAAATTACTTTTTTGATACAACACCATTCATTCTTCATTTCTTCCTAGTAGTATTGAATCTTTTTCACTCCTTCGCCCACAATTTCTCAATTTTAAATCTGTAAACCGAATTTGAAAGAAGAAAAAATAAAAAGCACTGAGGAGACCAAGGAGATTCAGAATCCATGGCAGCCGAGATAACCATTTCGCTTGTGAGAGAGAAGCTAGAAAACCTTCTTTCTAGCACAAAGATTGGAGATCCAAGCTTGCAAACACAAGTCAAGAAGTCCATCGCGAAGCTCAAAGAGTCTCTGGAAACCTGGAAAGATTTAGAGGATGACCAAGGAAGTCATCTAACGATTGATGACCGGAAGATTAAGCTTCTGAGAGCTGTATATGATGCAGAGGACACCATAGATGCCTTCCTCGCAAGTACGACATTGCAGAAACAAAAGTCTTTCCCTTTATTCCCTTTGAGATCAGAGCATAGCCAATCTCAGGTAAGCCTTAAGATGAGAATTTTTGTTGACCATTTAACAAGTTTCATAGAAAATAAATCCGTTCATGTCGAGCGAACGGCTCCCTCTAGTAACTTATCATTGGAAGATATGAAAGCTGATGATGATGTGGAAGTTCATCCACAAAAATCACCAACCAATGTGGAGGATATGCCAGTCCTGCAATTGGAGAACAAGAACTTCGGTGAAGGTACTTCGAAATCGAACTTCGGTGAAGGTTCTTCGAAATCAAACTTCGGAGAGGGTACTTCGGGATCCAAATTTTCATATGAAGATGATACTTATGGTTTGGTTGATACAGCGCAGACTGAACACGGTCATGTAAAGTTAAGGGTTCTGTCAACTAACTCAGTGGAAGATATCCAAGTTCGACCATCGGAAGAAAAGCACTGTGTTGATGGCAATGTCGGGGCTGACGTTGGTGCGGATGCTTCGGAATCAAGTTCTTCAGATGAAGATGATACTTCTGATTTGGAAGATACAGCAAAGAAGTTAGCCGAATTAATCTTTCGTGACGACTTGCCATTTTTGCTCTTGTCAGTGGCAGGTCGTCCTGGAGGCTCTCATAATACGACTCTGCTATGGAGGACTTACTGCAATATCAAGGAGCATTTTGAATGCTGTGCCTGGACTTATGTTTCTGATGTGTACGAAGCTATAAAATGTGTCATGGAACAACTTACGGGAATGAAGCAGGAAAATGATTTGCCTCCAAGAGTGCTGCAAAGAAAGCTCTGCCGTTTCTTAAGCAATAAGAAGTACCTATTAGTTTTCTACGATCTCCGAACACCTGAGGTCTGGGAGTCTCTGAGTTCTGTTCTACCGAATTCAGGTGGTGGTCGGACGATTGTCAGTTTTCATGGAGCCGCTGCAGCACCGAGTATTCCTAATACAAGGTTCTTGGGTACAATCTTTGGAACAGAGTTGGTGTCACCGTCAGCATTAAGTAAAGATGTCTGCGCTTCGTTGGATGAGGAAACTGATATTGTTGGCCTGAAAGATGAAATACAGAAGTTGCATAAATTAATTTGTAGGCGGTACCAGTTGCATTTTATGATCCTAGTGGTGGGTGTGGCAGGCTCTGGTAAGACAACTCTGGTAAATACAGTTTACAACCAGTTACATATAAAGCAGAAATTCGAGAACCGTGTTTGGATTTCTGTTTCTAAAGTTTTTGAAGAGAGAAATCTCATACTTCAGATATTGAAGCAGGTTACAGAGGTTAAGGACGAGGAGAAATTGTCCCTTGAGGAACTGCGGAAGAAGCTTCGTTATTTCTTTGTTGGAAAGAGGTACCTGGTAGTCTTGGATGATGTCCAAACACCTGATACTTGGGACAAACTCAAAAGGGTCTTCCCAATTAGCTACGTAAGTGGTAGCAGGGTGGTCCTAACTATCCGTGATCCTAAGATAGCTCAAAATATTGATTCATCGATATATTATCGTCACAATCTACGTCCACTAAATAATGAAGAGAGTTGGGAGTTGTTTTCGGAGAAACTGAAACCAAAAATATCTGATAATTCAGATTTGGTGGAGCTCAAGGAAAAGATCTTGCAAAAATGTAAGGGTCTACCGCTTGCAATATGCATGCTGGCTGGTTTATTGTCGACTAAGGAACGTAGGAAAGATGCATGGTTAAAAGTTATTGAGTCTACCCAACAAAAGAAAAAAGAAGGAGGGACTGGTGAGAATGCAATGCAAGGTAAAAAGGAAGAAAGGGTTACTGAGCATTCTCAGCTTGGAGAGATTGAAGAAAAAGTGGTTGAGGATGAAACAGGGGTTGATAAGCATACTCATCTAGAAAAGATTGAAGAAATAGAGGAGATGGATGAGGAAAGAAAAAGTGCTGGTGAGCATATTCAACAAGGAGAAATTGAAGAAGAAGGGGTAGGTAAGGAAGAAAAAAGAGGGACTGTAAATGCAGCCTCTTACAGCAAACAAGGAGAAGATCAATCCATTTCTTCAAATGAATCAGTTTCCTCAGATAACTTGAGCGCTTCCGACATCTTTTCTTTGGGCTATCGGGACTTAAACTCCCCTTTAAGGGCATGTCTCCAATATTTATGTCTTTTCCCACGATCGGAAGAAATCCGCATAAGAAGGTTGGCTAGATTGTGGATTGCAGAAGGCTTGGTTGAAGTCTCGACAAATGACAATAAAGAACCTGAAGATCTAGTGGAAGAATATCTTCAACAATTAGAGCAAAGAAACATGATCAAGATAACAAAGTCAGATGGAAGGCCTAAAACATGCAGTGTGGAAGGTCTTCTCTATGATTTGCTGTGTCCAAATGCCGAGTGCATGGGATTTTTTCACGTCCATCCCAACTCAGGTCCAGAATCGAAAACAGCAGCAACGCTTAGCATCCGTAGGTTTGCAGAACAAGTAGACATTCAGAACAATCCTCCTTCAGATGAAGACATTCGACAATTACGTTCATATATATCTTTTAACAAGGGAAAGGGAGATAAAGCGGCAGATGGAGTAGGCAATTTGCTGAAAAGGACAATCACTAAGAGAGGTTTTGGGTTGCTCACACTGCTTGATCTGGAACGTGTATACAAGCCAGTGCTGCTACCTGAAACACTAAGAAGGCTGCCGCTTCTGAAGTACGTCGGTCTGAGATGGACATTTCTGGACGAAATCCCAGAGTCTGTAGGTGACATTCCTTGCCTACACACTTTAGATGTAAAGCACACTAATATATCTGAATTGCCTAATTCCATCTGCAATGCTAAGAAGCTTCTGCATCTCTATACGAACGGGATTGATTTC